TTATGAGTGAATAAAAGGATGCCATCAGTGCGTGTAAGATGGCCAATAAAGTCAGAATAAAAAGCGTGCTATTAACATAAAGTCAGGGGGAGCGGGGAGTGCACCTGGGGCATGGTGCCTCTAGGCACCTGCTCAGAGGATGCCCACCCACTCCACGGCAGAAGGCTACACTCGCAAAACTGCCTCCTTCCTCACGGCAACTGCACGAGTGGGCCTGGCCGGGAGGCGGCACCTGCTGACTGGCGGAGTGAGCACCTGCTGGTGCTTTGAGTTCTTGTCGGTCCCTGGTCCTAAGCCACTGTGAAAAGGACTCGGGGTTTTGCTACAAAGGCATCATGGACACAAAACTTAGGTACTAAGTCAATCTTGACTTTTTGGAAAATGATCTTATTTCAAAACCAATGTTCATTTTTTTTTAATTTTACAAAAAATAGTGAATTATTTGTAAATCCATAATGTTTTAGAGAATTGTAAAATGTTAATTAATCATTGGCACCGCCATTGATGGTCCATTGAGCCAAAGGCTCATGAACTTTACGCTTTGTTTAACGGTTTTTAGGTTTTTTCGTGTCTTCAACCATTCCAAGGAACACATTTTAATGACGTTCCAATAACAGAGTGGCTGAGTTGTCCCAGAATGGCCATGCGGGTCAAAAGCCAAGTTATAAAAAAGAAGGAGGAGTACAAGCAGGAGAAATGGAGAAACAGAAATCCATAAGAGACTGAGCAATGCTATTCTAGAATGACCACACGGAAGACAGGAGCAGATTTGAAAGGACAGCTCAGGTTAGATCGTGTCTCTCCCTCCAGCTCCCTCTTCCATTTTGAGGCCAATAGGATGTCCCTTTCTATGAAAGTTCATACATAGTCTTCATTTTCTCGTTCCTCCTTAAACCCCACGCGTCAGATTATGGCATCCTTAAACCCTCCCGACGGCATTAAGCTCCTTCTGGGTGGCGGAGCTAACCGGAGACATCGTTCCGGGCTCCGAAGCCGTGTCCGTGGTTCAGCTGACAAGGTAGGAAGAACGAGGGTCGGTTCCTCCCCCTTGGCCACCAGGTGCCCCGGCACTGGCCTGGCATTTCGGAAGGGCTTTGTGGGACGCTAGCATTTCTGAGAAGGCTGTACGTCGGGCCGTGTGTCTTGGCAGCCAGAAGAGCAGAGAGAACCACAGGCGGGTAAGGATGATCATGGAAGCCACCTGTTCACGGGGGCGATCCACTCGTGCTCAACAGCCCTCCGGGACGGAACCATGAGCAACAGCGCCTTCCCCACTCTCACTTCCAAAGCAGCGGACGCCCCCCTTGGTTTTCGTGGAGGCTTCAACCTCTCACGGCGAGCTTCTCCTTTACAGCTATGTTGGAGCGGTTTCGGGTCTTAGCTGACCCTGCCGCCCTCCCACACATTCAATCGCTCACCTCCAATTTGGTAAATATGTGATCACAGCGAAAAAGTTAGCAGAGTAAGAACATTTTGATTTCCATTTTAGGGGCACCTGGGGGGCTCAGTCCATTGAGCCTCTGTCTGCCTTCGTCTCAGGTCATGATCCCAGGGTCCTGGAATCGAGACCCTCGTCGGGGTCCCTGCTCCACAAGGTGTCTTGGTCTCCCTCTCCCCCTGCTGCCCCCCTGCTCATGCGCTCTATTTCTCTGTCTCAAATAAATAAATAAAATCTGAAAAAAAGAATATTTTGATTTCCATTTTACATGTTCTGAATAAATTCCAAAACTTTTTACTTCTTTATTGTGACACCAGCTGTCCCCACCTGGCTCTGTGATGGTCACGAGCAGTCCTTCCCAGCCTGTCTGGCCCGCCCCACCTACCCTGAAACCTCTAGAATCTTCTAGAAATCCCAAGTTTTCCCCGGAGAACGTTGGTCTGAGGCCAAGGCTCAGGTTCACAGGTGATGTCTCATTGTCGGATCTGACCTGAGCCCTCACCCTTCCCTCCAGAGGGAGGTCTGCTCCCAAAGGCAGGAATGGGGCCTGCCCGACTGACAGGACCACCGTGGAGAGGGCATGCCTGCAGGGGAAGACAAGAACCAGATTCCCCAAGACTGGAGCGGGGAGCCCTGGCACTTGACCGTGAGAAGTAAAGAGACTCAGTGAAACCACAGAGCTCCTGGGGGGCGCTGCCACTCCGCGGTCACCCATCTGCACCTGCAGGACCTGCCGGCATCCCCAGCTCACCTCCAAGGGACCCAATTACATCCCACCGTCCCCCCACCCCACGTCCACACGGAACACCTCACCATCACGCCCTCCTGATCAGAGAGGCGGAGGTGTATTCCTGAAATATTCCCCACCTGGATGAGGTTGTCCCCAACACAACATGGGCAGATTCAGATGCCTTGACGCACAGGGGGCCGGCGAGGGCAACAGGGCACGGAGCCAGGGTCCTGCACCTCCCGTGGGTCCCTCTGCCCTCCGATTGCCTGAGGACCGACCGACCAGAAGAAGGGCCGACCAGCAGCAAACCGCAGGGCAAGGCTGTCAGGACTGGTTTAAGTAAGGGAAGCAGACACAGCTCCCAGGCGGGAGGGTGCTTGCCCGGCCACAGACGGTGGGGTCAGTGCGGTGCCCTGGGACTAGGCTCCCACACGTGCGATGCCAAGATTAATGCGGATGTCAGACCACGCGGCACACGAAGCCCCCTCCCAACTGGGGCTCTGTCCCTCAACACTGCCCTCACTTCAGACCCGGATGCCAATGGCCTGGCTGATTGCAAATGTGGGGGTTCTACAACTTCCCCTCGGGTATGATAATTTGCTAGGATGACTCACAGAGCTCAGGAGAAAGGTTTCCTTGTGGTTACAGTTTTATTCGGAAGGATCCAGCTCAGGAACAGCCCGATGGAAGAGACCAGACAAGAGAACGAGGGAGTGGGGGCCCCTTCCCCCGCGAGGTCGAGGGTCCGTCCTCCGTGTTCAGGGGATGTGCAAACCCAGGCTCGAAGGCGTGGTGGGGGTCTGTCAACACTCTCGTCCTTAACCCAACAGCTGCTTGACAAAGCCAGGCCACTCTCCTTCAAGGGCTGAGTCAGAAAAGCTGAGTCAGAAAAGTGCAAACGGAGGAGCAGAGAGTGGGCATGGGCAGCTTCTCTATAATCTCGGGGGAGGAACGCACAGGTTCCAGCTGGCAGGACTGACTCCCACCCAGAAAGCGCGTCCTCGGGGCCAGGAAGCTGTCCGTGAATGGGCCGGCCCGCGGTGCCCTGCAGAACAGTGACCCTGCCCGCGTCCATCCTGCTGGGGAGTCAGCCAGAGGACGCTGGACTTCAGGCTCCACCACCAGCCGCCGCCGGGGCTGAGGGCCCAGGGAGGGCACATGCTGATTCATAATTTATGGACAAAGGACCCATGCTGCGGCGAGCGACAGTGAGGGACTTCCCTGATCCCGCTTTGCAGTTTGCATTCTATATTTAGTAAATATTACTGAGGAAGGAAAACCGTGGCCTCACAATTAGAAACTTCCAATGCTCAAGGTCATATTTGCTACCGAATTATAATCCTCCAAGGGCCACTCACCTGTGCTGCATTTACCCCAACCCCCTAAACAGAACTTGGAAAGTGTGCCTACCTTAGAGATACATTGGAGAGACTCTGGTAATAGAAGACCCCAAGCAGTATTCGTGGCATAATAAAAACTACGTACTTGGTCTTCATTCCTCATTCAATTCCTGGCAAATCACTTGGCCAGTGATCCAATCAGTCATGCCTTTGTAATGCAACTCCCATAAATAACTGGGTTCGTGAACTCGTGTCCTGAAGGTGCTGCTCTCGGGGGCCTGGAAGCTCATGGACCTCCGCACACAGCTCAACCGCTGGTCTCTTCCATCGGGCTGTTCCAGAGCTGGATCCTTCCTAATAAAACTGTAACCACAAGGAAACCTTTCTCCTGAGCTCTGTGAGTCATCCTAGCAAATTATCATACCTGAGGGGAAGTTGTAGAACCCCCACATTTGCAATCAGCCAGGCCATTGGCATCCGGGTCTGAAGCGAGGGCAGTGTTGAGGGACAGAGCCCTTTGCCCCTGGGTCTGGGGAACTCTGCGTTGGTGTCACAACAGACCTGAATTGCAGGACACTCCCTAAGTGTTAGGATGACTAGAGAACTGAGTGTGAACTGTTGGCAGAAGAAGGCTCTTTCCCAACGGTGTGTTCAGCTGAAGACAGAGGGTGGGGGCCGCCAGGGCTGGCTGTGCAAAGAAGGAGTGCGTGCCCAGTCTCTCCAGGGAAGAACATGATTCTCCACGATAAGCAGGTGCTCAGGGCAGAGCCACAGGGCCCAACAGATAGATGCCCAACGTGCCCTTCCAGCATCGCTGGTCACCGGGGACACCATGCAAGGCTGGTGTCACACTGAGGCCATCAGCAGGTGGCTGTTCCTGCACAGAGGGCACCTGACGCAGACGCAAGGGCGCGGTCTCTGTTGTCTGAGTTAGCTGTTCCTCCCAGCTCTGTCCTACCCTCTAATCTTCAGGTTTTAAAACTAATTTTTATTATAATAACCTTTTTATTCTGCTTCCAAATTACTCCATTATAAAAGGACATTTTTAAAAACCAAAGACAGCGGCTCCCTGGTGGAGGGTATGTTGAGTACAGCATATACTCAAAGATCAGTGATCCTCCCAGGGCAGCTGGAGAGAGCCAGACACATCTTTAATTAACAGTCATTCAGTTACTGGGTCCTCGGAGTAGAGGGAAAAAAGCTCTTTGAAGCGTAATGCATGCTACATTTTCTTCAGACACCATCTTTCACTGAAATATATGAAACAGCTTATTATTTTAATACAGATGCGCAAATGTCTGGGAGCAGGATAACCTATCGCTTAAATGCTATTTTTCTTTCTGCAGAATGTCACACGGTGTGGAGCTGTGGCTGCCACAAGTTGCAAATTAATTTTTTAAAGCCCTGTATTACTTGAGGAACGTGCACTTTCTCACTGGCGCCAGCAAGCAAGTGCCGGGTGTCGTTGCTCTCAGACCTCGGGGCATCTTACCAGGGGGATCCGGGCACCGGGGTGGAGGCCACGGGTCTGTCTCCCTCGGCCGCACTGTCCTCTCTTGTGACTAGTATCGATGGAGGCTCCTTTCAACAGAAAGAGAAGGACAGCACTGTTTTTTTTAAATTTAAGCACTCATCTTCAATTAGGCAACCAAGTGGAGAATAACAAGTCTCCTGCAGATAGACCTGCCTATAGTACCCACTGATGATGGCCTGCTCAGTACAGCAAAGCAAAGGGGACTGAGCAATTATGCTGCGAATACGGAATCTAAGGCACAACAGACCATGCTGAGTAACTCAGACAAAGGCATCTCCCTAATTACCCCAAATTGGCTAAACTATCTGCTTTTGCAGACACGGAGACAGGAAGCAGTGGCCACGAGATTGCTTCTGGATGCCTTAACATCTCGTGGGTAAAACATCACGCGGATTCATCTCCAGAAATGGGCTGACCCAGAGGCTGGGGTCCAGGGGTTCCGAAACTGTGCACTGTGGCAGGAACCCTGGAAGCAGCAAGGGGTCCTGGGTGCAGCTGGGGCTTGCTCATCCTGGGCCCTTGAAGGCAGGAGGAAGACACAAGCCCACTTCCTTGCAGCATCCGTGAGGCTGGCCTCCCCTTTCTGGGCATCTAGCTGGGGGCAGCGTTCAGGGGGCATATGACATGGTGCAGGGGATTCTGGGGCGGAGTTGGGTTTGAAAAATCACTCTGTCTCTGTTTAGAAAATAAGGAATGTTTGAACATGACACCACCTAGAAGAAAATGAAGATTTATTCTCTAATATTAAGAAGAAAAAAAAAGAAACCATGGCTGGGACACTTGCTCATCGTTCATTATGGATACAGTTGGAGAGAAATGAAAGTTGCTTGAGGATAGACACCACGGGGCGGTTATAAGACCAACATAAATGCAGACCGAAGGTTTGGATTAACTTATTTAGCTGCCTTCCTGTGGGAGGAGTGCTGGCTCTGTGCCAAATGGAGGGAAAACAGAACCAAGTTCCTGCAGGTGTGACGGCAAAGCCACGGTGAGGAATCTTTAAAAACGTGTCACCTCCGGGGCAGCCACAGGAAAGGGAGTCGCATCAAGCACAGTAAACTCTCGCGGTGTGGGGGGGACGATGTTCTCCTTTTCCCAGATGTTTCTGTAGTTTTAATCTCAAAGTTAGAATATTACGATACTGGGTTCTCTTTCTCTTAAAAAATCAGGTGAGATTTAAAAAACACAAGGACGTGGTTCAAAACAACAACCAGGCTCTCGGATGAGAATGTCAGGTGCAATTAAAGCTCTAGATTCCTTGTATAAAAGGAAAAAAAAAAGGATGCCATCTCGATTTCTACCATGGCTTGTGCCAGGACGTTAAGGGACGTTAAGGGACACTGTAGGTGAGGAGGTGGTTAACACGTGTTTGGATGGTCCGTGGGGCCACGCCGCCGTGGGCGCACCCACGCGTACCTCGGCCAACACTCACGTACACCGTGTCAGCCTCCGTTCAAACAGAAGAGCTGGAAAGGCAAACGCTAAATTCTGGACGCACTGAAACACGAGATTCAGACAAGAAGTTCAAAGAACGCTGAGTGTCTCAGAGCCCAGGGTGAAGAAAGTCCCATGCAAGGAAACGTGGCGCTCTGTTGGGCCACCCCCGTTGCCCCCGCCCACCCTCAAGACGGGGACTGGGAAGGGCCCCCGTGGTCAGGCTTGAGCGGCCAGTGCGAGCAGAGCCGGCCGAGAGGAAGGACAGGAGTCCTGAGCGGACAACATTCCTCTGGAAAGCGCCCTCGGGGTCGCGGGTTGAGGGCAAGGCGGGCATGGCAGCTCACCATCAGACAGGCGATGCCCGGGAAGTGAAGGGCCGTCTCACTCATGCGTGAGCATCCTGGGCTTTCCCCGGGCTCCTCTTGTGGCCCTCCATTCGCTGACCCAGATAATGATTTTTAATTTATATAATTATCCCTAAGTTTAACAATAATTTCTTTTGAATTTTGAGGTAGTAGGAGATGTCTTTCCCTCCTGTGAGGAAAAAAAAGGTCAGGATAAATAATGAACATAACAGGGAGGACTCAGAAAGTGGTGTTAAAAGAAATACACTGAGATCAGAGTTTATACTACTAATCCAATTAGAAAAACGAGGGGAGATTTTCATTATGAAGCTAATTGAACACTAGAAACCCAACGAGGGTCTCTGAGCAGTGGATTACCCCGGCTAATTACTCACACAGATTTGGCGGGGCATGATTTGTGGCAGGGACTAACATTTAAATTTGGCAAAGCTGGGATTGTCTCCCGCTAATTACCACCATCTCCTTCATGGGGCACATGCTGCCCATGATTTCCTGTTGGTGATAAAAATGGCATAAAACTCCCTTTCCACACTAAAGTGATAAAAGTGAATTAGAGGTGCAGAGCCCAGGGATGAAGAAAGTAGTTAAGGCACTAGAAAGGGTATTTGTTTAATAAATATGTAATTCTGGCATGGATGTTCATCTCTTACAGAGAAATCCTACGTCCGGGAGCAAACGTTCAATGTGCACTAACATTTGTGACCCACTTCACCACCGACCATTGGCGCTAAGGATGGGGAGGGAGTGAACAGGCCGGCAATGGCACCCTCTCCTGAAGTGTGGGGACAGCACACGCGGGAAGCCAGGTCACCACCTAAGCTCCTCCACGCAGAAACCGACCGGCGAGCCCTGGAACGGGACCCGCCGGGAAGGCCAGCGGCTGTTCCCAAAGCCCTTGGCCCCCGCCCCTCTACTGTGTTCTGGAATCATCCTGCCGGGTTTGGCTCCATTTCACAGAGCAGACCGCAAAGTGTCACCACACAAGAGCCAGGTGGGAAAACAGGTGCGGGGCGCGGCGGGGGGGGGGGGGATTTTCAGCCCCGAGTCCCCCTCACCCAGGGTTTCACATCTTTAAAACACAAGCGGAGTCCACAGACCCACCTTCTCTGCCCCGTCCCCGGCCGGGCTCTTCCTGTCGGCGTGAAGCATGAGGGCGGGAGGGCAGGGCGCTCGGCTGCACTCTCTGCTTTTATCTGTTGGACCAAAACAACTGTCATTAGCATCCCATTTGTCACGTCACTTTGGAAAACTAAACAAGGACAGAAAGTGGCCTTGAAAATTCAACTTGGCAGCCCACACTGCACATCCCACAGCAAGGTCCCAGGGAAGGGCAGACTTGGGGGCCAAATGAGGCCCCTGCACCTCCATCCCACCTTCCTCAAGCTGCTGCAAACTTGGCTTCCTCGGCCACGTGTCCTGGCAAGGAGGCTGTGGGAAGGGGCCACACAGGCCGGGACCCCACATGGGGACCCGCCACCTGTCCACAGTGGGGGTCCGCACCTGGAACCCTCAGGACTGCAGCCCTGGGTCCAGCCGGCAGGGCAGCCTGTCCCAGAGCCCAGAGGTGGGTCAGTGTTGACCTCCGGGCCCCGGGGCAGCCATGACCACCCCCAGGAGACATTGCTTGGGGCCTGGCAACACCAAATATAGGTCCATGTCCAGATCAGCCCCAAGGAAGGAACAGTCAAGCTTTCGCTGAACTGTCTGGCCACACCTGAGTCACGAAAATTCTAACCTTAGGGCAGTGGGGACACCTTATTATCACTCATGGGGATAAGCAGAGCCCCAGGACAGAGCGAACCTCTCCGGAACCTGTAAAGATTACTCCCCAAAGTCCACCTTCCATCCAGGTGTGAGGAGCAGTGAGGAGCCTGGGCGCCCAGCCCTCTGTGGGCTCCACGTGGGGCCGCCCACAGCAGCCCCAGTCCCACGGCACAGGCCGCACGTCCACGCGGAGGGAGGAGCTAAACGTGCAAAACATGTCAGTAAATGAGGCACGGCCTGGGAAAGCCAAGGGGAAGACAAGCGTGACTCAGTTTACTGGGTGTCTCAGGAGCCTGGTGTTCTGGTTTGAAATCCCGGGACTACTCCATCAGTGTCTTCTGCTGCATGTGGGGACACCTCATCCTCATGTTAACGATGCCTGATCACCAGCGTCAGCATCAAAGCCGTGTCTGTCCACGATTCCTCCCGGGCTGCCCGCTCCCCTGCTTTACTCCGTGGAGACCATTTGTGCCATGAAGACTCACGACCTAAACATCCAGCAACTTCAACATCTGCTTCTGGTGGAACCCACCACAGAGCAAGTGTCAGCGGTTCAGTCAGATCACGGACAGACTTTCCGGATGCTCTGCCCCACCCCACCCCTCCGAGGGGCCCAGGCTGGTAACAAGACGCCAGACCCCAGGGATCCCCATCTCAGCTTCAGCCCATGGCCCCTGGATCCCGCCGCCCACCACGTGCTTGAGACCTAGGGTGCCCAGGAGGCATCAGAGAAGTGGTTCTGGAGCCCCTGGCTCTTCTCCCCGCTGCAGCTGAGCAAACGGAACGGGAAGAGTGTGTGCACGGAAGGATGTCCAGACCGGCCAGAGACACGCGTGGGCCGGCGTGAGGGGGACCGTGGAGGATGGAGCCACAGAAGGTGGGTGGCTGCAGAAGCCACAAGTGCAGCTTCGGTAAGAAAGAAGGAGGCCGGCCACCGGGAGCCCTGCCGCGGCCGCAGGGAACAGCATGAAAGGCGCTCCAGAGCCACCAGGCACGACCTCAGACTTGCGTTCCCTGCTGCACTAGGGAGGCCGAACTGAGATGAGCTGAGCCCACCCTCCTGCCTCCCGGCCAAGACCCAGCCCAAGGCAGGCCTAAGGGGCAGAAGTGCATGGGCTTGGGCCAGAGTCCCACTCTTAGGGGATGGCCCTGGTCTCCACTGACGTGGTTCCTGCCCTGGGACCTGCTTTGTCGCTAGAAATGAGCAGATGGTGGCTTACTTCCTGCCTCCACCTGAGCCAGAGCCATTGGTCTGCATTCCCGCAAACTTCAAGGGGCGGGGCAGGGAGCCCAGGAGGGTGTACCGTCACTCTCCGTGACGGACCCCGTGTCTGCCTGCGGCGGCCCCACAAAGATCACGGCCCCCGTGAGTGAGCACGCGTGTCGGGATCTTCTCCCGTACGGAGTGCGTAAGGAACCCGTGTTTGGAGGCCAGGCGGTAGGGCTGCGGGCTCCTCCAGCTCATCTCAAACGAGAGTTGCCACACTCAAGTTTATGCCCGATATCCCCTCATTATCTTGAGGAGACATCTGACAACCTTTCTCTTATCAAGAATGGTTGATCCTTGTAAACAGCTGTTCAGATCTGGCTTTTGAGGTAAAGCACTTGCACTGTCAGTGAGGATCCTCCCAAAGTCCTGAGTCACAGCCGTGGGCCACCAGGCTCCCCAGGACAGGTGCTGGTGCTCCCCGAGACAGGTGTCAGTGCTCCCGGGACAGGTGCCAGTGCTCCCGGGACAGGTGCCAGGCTCCCTGGGACAGGTGTAGGTGCTCCCCGGACAGGTGCCAGGCTCCCCAGGACAGGTGTAGGTACTCCCTGGGACAGGTGCCAGTGCTCCTGGGACAGGTGCCAGGCTCCCTGGGACAGGTGTAGGTGCTCCCCAGACAGGTGCCAGGCTCCCTGGGACAGGTGTAGGTGCTCCCCAGACAGGTGCCAGGCTCCCTGGGACAGGTGTAGGTGCTCCCCGGACAGGTGCTAGGCTCCCCGGGACAGGTGTAGGTACTCCCTGGACAGGTGCCAGGCTCCCCGGGACAGATGCCATGGAGGGCATGGCCTCTCCAGGAGCCCGTCGCCTCTGCTAACAGACGGGGGTTCACAGCAGCCGCTGCACCTTGGACTCTCATGTGGGACGGGGTCGGCGTCCGGGCCGTCCCACTGTGGACGTGCTCACTGCTTGGCTCTCTATGGGCCACTTCTGGGGACAGCTCTGAGATGCTCAAGGACTCCTTGCTCTGGGCCTCTCCACAAAGCCCAATGATGTTGTCAGGAAAGGCTCCCTCAGGTGTCCAAGAGAGCAAGTTGATGGAGGACTTTCTACAAGTCTGGATGTCCAGGGCGCAAAGGCAGCTAGGGCCACACGAAGTGTTCCAGGGTGGAGGGGACCCGGGGGCCAGACCTTTCAGTGCCATCCACCTATCGATCACGCCCGGTGCCTCAATCTGAAGTGCTTTCAAATGGCCTGCAGTTCGATTTTGCTCCTGGCAAAGCTGAGAGGCCAGGGGCTCAGGAAAGGCTGCGTGGAGGTCTGGAAGGAGGGAAGGCCTCTCTGCTGAAAATCACCACATCCATCACCTGACAAGCGCTGATGTGCATCCAGCCTGGTCCTGGGGCGGTGGGGGACATGCTGGAAAGTGACACAAGCAATTAGCCGGCTCTTCCCTCGAGTCCGTCAGGCTGACCCGAGGCCAGGATGCAGCAACAGCCCTGGGAAGGCACGCAGGGGCCATAACTCAACCCCTTGAACAAATCAGGGCATCGGGCCACCGATCAAAGACGGCTCTGGGGCACATGATGGGGCAGCAGATCTGGTGGGAACTGGACCCTCTGCTCAGTGAAGGCTGCTTCTATTGGACAAAGCACCAGGATTTTTTTTAAACATTCAAAAAAAATTTTTTTAATTATTAAAATGAACTGCAGACAAAAATACCTAACGTGTCAAAAAGATAAGAGAAATATATCATTATCTCCTACATCAAAGGAACATTCTACGTTCCACCTAATTCTAATTCAGTAAATATTGACCTCCCTTGGTCCCAGTCTCCCCATCCATAAGATGAAATGATCTCTCAAGTTCCTCCAATTTGGGGATTCTAAAAGTCATCTCGGTACTCGGAACTATGTGGGGTATATCCCAAAGAAAGAGAAGTGACCTTGGGGGGCTGGTGAGAGAGTCTTCCGGGTTCCCATGGGGGAGAAGGGCCAACTCTGGAAAATGGATTAACCCCAAGGAAGTGGGCGGGGGAGAGAATTCACCATTTCTATCCTGAAAGCTGGTAGTGACCTCAGATGGATGGCTCCTTTGGAACCAACCTCCTCTGATGGATTTGGAGTTAAGTGGGAAATCTCCTCTGAGGCTAAGGGACCGCTGACCCACCCACATCTCCCCCATGTGACCCTGACGGTGATTTCCCAGGGTGGCATGAGGTTGAAGGGAGGTTGAAGGTCCTCTGGCTGGTGCAGACCACGGGCGTATAGGAAGGGTTTACAAGGAGAATCCACAGCACGACCCCAGTGTGCACGCTGGCCTCAGCCTACAGCGTGCTGGAGGTTAACAGTCAGACAGGCTCCACGGATGGCCCGTCCCAGGGACACTGTGCCTGGAAACAGGTGTCTGTCCCCAGGGACCTCCATTCACGACAGGCCGGTGTAGACAGGTGAGTGTTAGCGGACAATCCTGGAGTCACGGGGGCTCCGTTTTCTGGGTTTGCCGGTGGGGCGAACCCCTGTCCATATTTGAGTGTTCTCACCTCCAGGAACAGAGAATTGATCAGGTACGAACAGAAGTGTCTTAAGGGGATTTCCGAGCAGTGTTTTAACCTTGCACACCACCCCCCAAGCGCCATCTTGAAATAATTTCCCTGACGCGTGGGCCGAGCAGGAACCATTATCTCATTTACATGGAAGAAAAACAGACCAGGTGAGTCATTTCCCAGGTTACAAAATAAACCATTAGGGAGGGTGGAAATTCTTTGTCAATTTAAGTGGCATCGAGCTCCCCTGAAAATCCGACAATAAAATCAAGAGAAAAATGCAATTTATGTCTCAGGTAATAAAAATGACACAGTCAGGCCTGTTGTACGTGGTTCTAAAGAGGCCTGGACAACACCCTGGCTTTCAGTGTGTGCCTCCTGGGGACTAAAGCATCCAAGGGAGACCCCGTCCCTGGGAAAGCCGGGCTTCCAGTTCTAACGCTGTCCAGGGGTGAATCAGCAGGTGCTGCCTTTCGGGGCACCGACGCACAGACAGACAGAAAGAAGCAAGACACAGATTCCAGGGCCGAGAACAGGCGAAGCTGGGAGGGCCGGGGAGCCAGGGAGCCACAGCTCCGTCGATCCCTTTTCCGTTCAAGACCCCCGCATCCTGTCCCTGTGTCCCTGAGACATCACGGAGGCCAAGGCCTGCTGGCGAGGAGGCTCCCAAAGGGCGGGAC